CTCCGCACGTGCGGACCGCGAACGCGGCGTCTCTGCGCGGTAGCTTCCCTGCCGAGGACGTCCGTCCACCCCCGCTCCTTGGCACCCACGCACGTCCCGGACACAGCTCAGCCAGCGCCTCTTTTGTCTCCTGGACCCCTGATTTCTGTGCCTGGCAGCTACAACAAAATCCCCTTTCCCCTCGGCGGTTTACTTGTCTCGTAGCTTTGTGGGCAGTGCCAACGTCTTAATCGTTATATGCCAGATATATAGGAATTCATCAATAAATGGCAGGTGGGTGGTAATAATGAATACTGAATACATAAATAGGGTTCAGTTCGAGTCTGGGAAGACCACTGGGTTGAAATTTAGGGGAGAATCTCCGCAGGTGAGAAAAGTAGAAGTCTGAGTTTTAGGGCCTGTATTTTCAGTAATGCCTCAGCCTTCCCCCAGTGGTCTGCAAACCTGTCTCATGCCCTACCCCAGCCATCTCCCTCAAAACTGCACACATCTGGTACTTTCTCTGGTTCTTTCAAGTCTTCTGAGCTAATCCTGTAGTTTCCCCAATCAGTGAGCTTTGAGAGGGAGTGGTTCACTTCCCTGTCACCTCATTCTGTGTGGAAGGGCAGAAAGTCGGGATTATTTCCATTGTAGGGATCATGTAACCTGTGCCTCTGCTCCCTGTAACTAGACAACTCAACTGTGGTACACATTTGCTTAGGAAAATGACCTCTAGGCTGCAGTCTTAGTTTTCAGTTACTTGGGACAGCAAAGAAGGAAACAGAAGGATCCCACTCACTCTGTTGAGCTGGAATTTCATACTCCGGGAATTTAGAAATATAACACTGCAGAATATTAACAGTGGGAATAAATTATCTCATACTCCTCTCCCCTGACATATGATGAAACAAGAGCTCAGAGAGGACAAAGGAACTTGACAAGGTTCCACAGCCTATTGGTGTCAGAGCTGGGACTAGAACCCATGATCTCTCACCATGGTCAGTGCTCCTTCCCTGGTGAGCTTTCAACAGGAGAGGCTGGGCAGTGGGTGTCTCTAATTAGGAGTCTCTTGGAGGGGGAAGGGTATAGCTTAGTGGTAGAGTATGTTTCTAGCATGTACAAGGTCCTAGGTTCAATCCCCAGTACCTCTATTAAAAAAAAAAGATAAATAAATAAACCTAGTTACCAAAAAAGTTTTTTTTAAAAAAAGCCTGTTGGGTCTCTCTGCTCTAGGGCTCACAGAATTCCCTGGGTTCTTTGTTTCTATATTATGTTCCACATGTGATCTGTTCTGTTTCTGAGAAAGTCTCTCTCTTCACCTTAACTCAGCTTCTCTACTGACAAAACACACAGAATGTAGTGACTTATATTCCACCCTCATCAGGCAGATACAGGCAGCAGGATGGAACTCAGTCCTGGGCTCCCGCAGTGTGTCCTCAGCCTTGAATTGGTATTGTTTCTCATTTATGCCTTCTAATACAAATACACACACATACACACACATACACACACAGTGGTGACTGGGAGGGAGTTCCAGACTGGCACAAGGGCCTTTATATGCTTCTGGAAAGGCTGCAGAAGGTCAGTCCTCCAAAAGAAGCATGAGACATTGGGCACCAGTCAGAGGAAAGTGGCACCTGGGTTTTTCCTTCTCCCTCTAGAGAGGGTTTTTGGTGCTACCTAGCTGGCTTTGTAACTGGTAGGAGGGAGAAAGGGAAGAAAAAATGGAATGGATATGGCAAGTGATATGAAGTTTTTTTAAAACAAATAATATGGGGGTGAAAAGATTGAAAATGTAGGATCAATTGAGAGAGAAATTATTAGTGTTGTTTATTTTAATAGGATTATCTCTAAATAGGTTAAATGGAGTGGGTCTCTATACAAGAAGACAGGGCAGGAAGTAAAGATAATCAAGCAGAAATTGAGGTCCAGACCCATCTCCCTGAAGCTGCTTCCTCTCTTCCTCAGCCCAATTCTGAATTCAGCCTAGAGGCCTTTTCCTGCCCTGGGTTGAGTTACCCATATCTCTGGGAATGAAGTTCCCCTTCCCCATACCTCTTTCTTTGTGCTGCCCCAGCCCCAGCCCCAGTCCCATCTTATGCCCAAACCAAGATGGCGGCCATGGCCCACGTACCAGCAGGTTACTTTCCGTGGTGAGGTCCTGACACTGGCTGCTCTCCAGGCACCAGCCACGCACTTCCATGGAGGCCTGAAGCAGCAAAGTCAGCAGCAGGGCCCCCGAGCGGCTCCTGCACAATCTCGGCATCTTCCAGGCAGGCTGAGGCTCTACAGAGGCAAACAAGATTAGTGGGACCCCTGCTAGGAGCAGAACAATGTTGGCCACTCATCAGGAAGGACCCTGAGCCAACATTAACAATACACTCACTTGTGGAGCTCAAGGGTTTTTGAGGACAAGAGCAGCTCAAGGAGCAGGTTGGTGTGCAGGGTGGTTGTGTGACTTGTGGTAGAGAGGAGGGCAGTGGGACCTGGGTAAATTATGTCCAATTTCCCCCTTTATCACCTATGAAAAATCAGACCCCAAAGGATATTAGGGCTGAAGACTATTTTAGGAGTCATTTGCTCTGGCCGCCTAATTGAGAAATGAGGAAACTGAGGCCCAGAGAGAGACAATGACTTGGGTGTTTATGATGAGGTAGGCTAAGTTCTCCTGTTACCAGCACAGAGCTTTTCCATTTCATCATCTTCAGGAAGCTATAGTTCTAACACTCTAGATCTAAGGAATAACTTGGGAAAGACAAAGGACTCTGAAACTCCTGCTCAAGATGATCTGCTTCTCGTCTACCATGATTCTATTATTCCTCAGAAATTCATTTCCTATGAATTGTAGTTTTGTGTAAAGGCAAATAAAACCTCTGGCCAATTTAGCCAAAACATCAGCCAACCCCAGCTTGATGTCCTGTACACAAATCACTCAGGAGATCACTATTTCCCAGACCCCTGTAACCTTGGAGATACTTATTTTTAAAGCAGATCCCCATTCTTTTAAAACTGGCTCATCTTCTGAACACATTACATGTCAGACCTCCTCTTGTTCTCTAAGTCTCTCAAATGTAGTCTGAAATAGCTGGACTTGAAGGGATGGAAAGGAAGGGATGGTCACACAGAGCAGAAGGAAAGTACCTTTCACTGTGGACACCTACCAAAAATACTTTCTCAGAGAAGTCAGGAAGTACCTGTGGACAGATACTGAGCTCAAGAGGTCAGGATACAGTAAAGAGGGGAAGATAAATGCTGCCTTTTGCACCCTGTGCCCAACCCTTTCCCCAGCCCTTTAGCTGTCACACTGCCATGTCTGCCCTCATGCAGATCAGCCCTCTGAAATGACCCTGAGTTCTGTCATCAGCTCACAACCAACCCCACAATCATTTTGGATTTAAGATATTTTCAACCAGCTGTTAGGAAGAAACCTAATTAGATAAGAAAAGTAATTCACATTAAGGTGTAGATGACTGTCTCTCCTAGTTTAAAAATATTTGCCTAAAGAAATCTCATATTTGTGGAGGCAGGGGCCAAATCTTTTTTATAGGGAAGGCTTTGGAAGTGAAAGTTTCCCCTGGCTCTCATTGTTTACTTCAGGAAGCCACTTCCTTCTCTCTGTCCCACCCCACTCCTTTGCCAGCTCAAGGCTCCTTCTGAATGGTTGTCAGGCACTGCCTGTTTTTGGAGCAGCCATTAGGTGGTGCTGGCAGCCAGGGAGCCAGCCCATCAGCATCTCAGGCTGAAGGGGCCGCTGGGGGAGCATTGGTCAACCTAGTGACCAGGGAGAGGCTGCTCCTGTTGTAGATTTTTGGTGCTTCAGTTCAAGTGTGAAGCATGAATTTGGTGGCCAAAGCAATTTATATTAAAGCTCTGAGACCACACAGCACATTTCAGTGAGAAAAAAAAAATTCCAAGATTTTCAAGAGAAGCAGAAAAAGGGTAGCTTTTTATCACTGTAGGCAAGTGTAAACTAACATATTACTAGAGAAAGTAGTAAAATCATACAGGTCTGACAGTCCCCTCAACTATATTTCAATTCTCCTCAAAGTTGGCCATTCTGGAATGATTTCCATTTTCTAAAAACCTACCTCATGATTTCAGGCCTTCCTGAAAAGCCTCAGAGAGCATTTTCTCTCCTCCCCATTGGCTAAGTTGTACAACATGGTAACATTCTCACTCCCCACCCTCTTAGAGCTGCATTCTCCTGCTAAAAAGTTAGATAGCTTCCTGAAAGTAACTTGTTTTCTTTCTGCTTATGTGTATTTTCTATTTTTCTACAATAAACAAATATTACCTTGTGTCATTTTTTAAAGCAATAAAGTAATGGGGAGATGTCAAGTGTGCTTTTTGTAAGTAGAGTGACCAATAATTGAAAGACTGGAAAAATAAACAGAAATTTGTTATTTGCCAATCTTGACAGTAACTTTATATACACTTATTAGAACTTCATATGTATAGGTGAATTCTCTATGAGCTAAACAAAACGCTTTGTTTGTTACTCTAAAATTACACATCGACCATGCCCTTCCATAGAGATTAGAAGAGCAGAGGTGCAGAGTTTTGTCCTTGCACCATGATACACATGCATCAAGTCCCAAAGCAAAATGTCAAAGGAATATTAAGTCATTAAATAAGCCATAATCTGTACATATCTTAACAATGGACACAACAAATGCACACTTTTACTTTTCTTGCTTCTTCCAACTGTTCTGTGAGAACCACCTCCCCATTTATACATGAAGAATTTGGGAGATCCACATGCTCTGCTGACTCTCCCTGCCTCAGTGGGAACTCACCCCACCTCCACTTCGCCTGAGCCTCCATCAACTCCTGCAGCTGCTTCTGACCTGCTAAGGTCTGTGGGACAGAAAGTTCATTCTGCGGTCCTATGGAGGGCAGTGTCAGGGTGGTTCAGGACCGTGGACAGTTCCCATGCGGGCTACCTCTTTTTAACACCCGCTGGTCTTGTGATGGAGACTGTCAGTATCACAGCGCAGCCACGTCGGGTGGGCTAAGGTGGTCAGGGAAACGAGGATTCGGGGATCTGAATCCAAAAAAGTCTGGAAAGCAGGGAGTTTATTGTGACTTTTAGCCTTTTCTCTTCTGCCCCCATTTCCAATATTAATTTACGTTAGAGCATATGGTATCTTTTAAGAAGTGACATCTACCCAGAAAATCAGAAGACCCGAAAGACTGGGTCTCCCGAGATCTCCCCAGAAGGCGATAGGACTCTCAGGGGTCCTAGCAGCCGCCCTCCCCCTGGGAGATGCGGCCACCAGCCCCTGGAAGGCATCACTTTCACGATCACAGACGCTCTCCCACCGTTTGGAGGCTGGCTCTCGGCGCTCCCCTGCCGGCTTCTTCTCCAGTACAGAGTTTTCAAAGAACTAAAGACCGCGCGAGCCAAAGGCGCCTGAAGTCCGCGATGGAAGCTGGGGAAGAGCATCCCGAGGCCCCGGAGCAGGGATTCCGGAGATAAGACGAGGTTCCGCGCCGCTGCGCCCTTACCTTTCGCGGGGAGGCTGCTCTCGGGGCGACTCCCGCTGCACCAGGGTGAGGATTCTCGGTGACCTCTCGGTCACTTTTCTTTCCCTCTTTCTCTTCCTTCGCACTGCCTTGTCCTGCTCCCTCTCCTCGGTCCTTATATACTTGAGGGGCGCTGGACTTGAAGTTCCCGGCAGCTGCAGCGTGACAGGCAACTCCCCCCGTCCGTGGAAAGGGGGGCCGTGGGGCGCAGGAGGGGGTTTTCCAGGTAGGGGCTGAGCGCAAGGGCAGACATGCCCGGAAAGAGGCTGAATCTATGCCCCCGGAGGCTGGAATTAACACCGTCCTGCAGAAGGGCACACCTGGTAGCCTTCTGGAAAGAATTTAATTAAGGATGATTTGGGGACCTCAGTTAGGACGAGCGGGAGGCTTAGCACCCCTGTGTGGGGCAGGCCTAGTGCGTCTGCTGAGGTCGTTGAGGAGAGAGTGAAATTACCTATGTGTGTACTTGAGCTGGCATCTGCCTCCTTCACACTTGTCTGTAAATATCGCTGCCAACGGAGTACATCTGAAATGCCTCAGATTTCCCCAATGTCTGGAAATTGTGATGTGAAAATGTCACAGGGAATCATAATCCCTCTGTTACAGGTTGAAGGGGCTGGGGGCAGAGAAGGTCAGGAGTCATTCAGTTGAGGCCAAGACAGATTGCCTTCTTGGGGGTGTGAAGGGCCTAGTCCAGGGCAGGCTCCCTCCTCTGCTGCACAGCCCAAGGAAAAAGTGCTGTTAACCTTAGCATATTAATGGGGGAAGAGGGAGTCCTCTGTGAAGAGCAGCTGAAGTATTTTGCCTGGGGCCTCTGATCCCTCCCTGTGCCAGTGAGCTGGCAGAGTGGTGTGGGGACTCTCAATCTTCTCCAAGTCTGCTCTTGGAGTTCTGGCTTGGCTCTAGTCCCACGTGTCAGGACAGGGAGGAGAGGACAGGACTCATACCTGCAATGGAAGAGTAAAGAAGCAAAAGTAAATTGTGACAAGTGGTGGGGGTGGGAGGGAGAGCTGGAACTAAACTGAACTTCAAATCAAGGTTCTTGTTTAATCTATCACTTGCAGGAACTTTCCTTATTCCCAATCAGAAGTTCTTTTGGACTCCAAGACTCCCTTGAGAATTTCTGGTTGGTGACATTGGCTTTATATTCAGCAATTCTTTCCTTTCGGGCCACAGGAGAAATTCAAGCTCCTTAATAGCAAACAAGGTACTTTACTACCTGGCCTTGCCTCTCTCCAGGGTCATCTCCCACCTCTCTGTCTTGCATCCTGGCATTTCAACCATTCACAACATTCACATTCCCATGAACACTATTTTCTAGAGCCTCCATCTCTTTGTCTATGTTATTCCACCAACAAAAACACCCTTCCTCCTTCCAGGCACCTGGGAAAATTAAACTCTTACATTAAGATTTGGCTCATCTGTTATCACCTGTTCCCCAATGCCCTTTTTGGTCACTGGTCCTACCAGGGCATAAAACTCATCTTTCTCTGTTTTGCCAGGAACCCCATTCCCATCTTATCTGTTTACATGATGTTCACTGCTGGAACCAATTCCACTCTGTCTTCCATCTTCCCTCTTCCACTCACTCCTGCCTCTACCACTGCCAGGCTTAAGAGCCCTCTCAATCAGATTGTGATTTTATTTCATTTTTCTCTGTATTATTTGTATAACTTTAAGAGGCAGCTGATGGTACCAGAAAAGCCCCACCAGGAAAAGCTCAGACTGACCCAGCTTCTGTCCTCTTCTGTCAGCTGAGTTCTTAGTTATATGAATTAGAACCAACTTGGGCCAATGTGAACTGAAAAGCCATTGATTACATTTAGAATCACTGGGCAGGTTGGCAACCAGGATCCAAAAGTGGGCAGAAATAAAAGGTGGCTGGAATCATGGCCAAAATCAGATCACTGATTGGATTCAATGAGAAAGAAAACCAAACTACCACTGGGAACAAGAGGTCACAAGTCACACTGTCAACACCACAGGCACTGGACGTAGATGTCACTTCTATCCCCAGGTTGGGAGGTTGCCGTTCCCACTTTGGCTAATATCACCAGAAAGGACTGACCACTGCCCTTGCTTCCTTGTATCACTAGCTCCTCTTTGAAAGCTTGGAGCTGGTGCCTCTGATTGTCTGACATGATAATATGATTTTCCCCTTTATTCTGATAATGTGGTGAAATACACTGCTGATTTTTAGTGTTACAGCTACCATGCATTCCTGAATTGAGCCTGATTTGATTGTGATGTGCTATCATTATTATAGCATTGGGTTCAATTTGCTAATATTTAATATTTTTGCAGCCATTCTTATGAACTCGGCCTGCAATTTTCCTTTCTTGTAGAATTCCTGTTGATTTCAGTATCAAAATTATACTGTCTTCATAAAACAAGTTTGAAATCCTGCCTACTCCTATTTTTTTTAATATAATTTAGTAGAAGAATTTGTATGCAGTGGTGCTTATCGCTTCCTTAAATGTTTGAGATGATTTGTTAGTGATGCCACTTGGTCTTTATGGTTGTTTGCTTGTTAATGGTTTTAAATTACAGACTCAGTTACTTAATAGCACTATTTCAATTGTCTGTTTCTTCTTGTGTCAATTTTAGTAAGATATGTATTTCTAGGAATTTGTCCATTTTATCTAAGTTTTTCAATTTATTGGCTTAAAATTGTTTATTATATCTTATTATCTTCTTAGCATCTATGGAATCTGTAGCTATGGTCCTCTTGTATCTCTGATGTTGGTAGTTTATGTTCTCTCTCTTTTTTCTTGACTCGTTTTTCTCAGGGGTTTATCAATTTTATTAGTATTTTTTTAAAAATGAATTTTGAATTCGAAAAGATACATGTACCCCAATGTTCATAGCAGCACTATATGCAATAGCCAGGCATGGAGACAACCAAAATGTCCATCGACAGATGACTGGATAAAGCATTTATGGTATATGTATACAATTGAATACTAGATACTAGTCAGTCACAAAAAACAATAAAACAATGCCATTTTGCAGCAACATGGATGGACCTGGAGATAGTCATTCTAAATGAAGTAATCCAGAAAGAGAAAGAAAAATACCATATGATATCCCTTATATATGGAATCTAAAAAAAAGACAAATGAACTAATTTATAAAACAGAAACAGACTCAGACATAGAAAACAAACTTATGGTTACCAGGGGAAGAAGAAGGTGGGAAGGGATAAATTGGAGTTCAAGATTTGCAGATATTATACTATATATAAAATAGATAAACAAGTTTACACTGTATAGCACAGGAAACTATATTCAATATCTTGTAGTAATGATACAATGAAATAGAATATGAAATGTAGTATACATACCTATAGTGAAAAAGAATATGAAAATGAATATATGTATGTATATATATGCCTGAACTCTTATGCTGTACACCAGAAATTGACACAACTGGCTATACTTCAATCAAAAAAGAATTTTGATTTTGTTGATTTTTCTTTACAGCATGCACACCTTTTTCTATTTCTTAAATTTCTACTCTTATTATTATTTCTTGCCTTCTAATTTCTCATTAGCTATTCTTCTATTCTCTTGAGTTGGATATTAAGTAAATGCTTTTACTCAGATAATTAATATTTGACCTTTATCCTTTTGACATGTGTATTTAATGCTATAAATTCCTTTCTAAATATAGTTCCAGTTGCATCTCATAAGTTTTGATATGTTATATATATTTTTTTATCATTTAGTTTAAACTATCTTCTTGTTTTCATTGAGATGTCTTCATTGACCTGTGGGTTATTGGGAAGTGTTCTGTTTTCAAACTTTGGGGATTTTCTAGTTATGTTTTGAAACTAAAGTTTAGCATAATTCCTCTGTGGTCAAAGAACATACTCTCTTTTTTTTAATTTAGGTATAGTCAGTTTACACTGCGTCAATTTCTGGTGTACAGCACAATACATCAGTCACGTAGGAACATACATATATTTGTTTTCATATTCTTTTTCACCATAAGTTACTGCAAGATACTGGATATAGTTCCCTGTGCTATATACTATAAATTTATTGTTTATCTATTTTATATATATTAGTTAGTCTGCAAATCTCAAACTCCCAGTCTATCCCTTCCCATCCTCTTCCTCCCCTGGTAACCGTAAGTTTGTTTTCTATGTCTGTGAGTCTGTTTTTGTTTTGTAAATAAGTTTGTTGAACATACCCTTTTTGATTTTAGTCCTTTGAAATTTTGAGGGACTGTTTAAAGGATGAACATATGGTCCATTTTGATTAATGTTTTAAGTACATGTCAAAAGAATATATATTCTATGATTGCTCAAATATTCTATATCTTTTCTATACCTATATCCTTTCTGATTGTCATCTTATTCTATTAGTTACTAATAGATGTACGTTTTTTAAATTTCCGCATTATTTTGTGAATTTAGCTACTCCCCACTTTGGTTCTGGCATAAAAACAACTCTTTACAGAAATCCAATGGTAAATGTAGGGCAGTGGTGGAAGGTAACAGAGGACCCAGGATAAAGACAGCAGAACGGTGCTGGAGCATGATAGGAATAGGATGCTGACAGGAATAATCCAGTGGAGGAGGGGAAATTGATGCTGCAGATGGGAGTGGGAAAAACCAAATAACCCAGTCTTTAGAACTGAGATGGGGTCCAGAGGAAGAACCTGGCTTCCAAACAGTGGAGGGCCTTCCTCTTCCAATAAAGAAGGAGGTGCAGACGCAGGAGACTTGTAGGATAAGCCATGTAAGATGAATGACTTCTGTTTGTACCAAAGCCTTTAACTTTAAACCCAGAATTTTCTGGAGATTATCCTGAGGAAATATCTAGCAGTTATTGTAAACATAGTTCAAGATTACTCATACAACATTGTTTATAGTAGCAGTAAAATGAAATCCACTAAACGTCTAGGGTGTAATTATAAAAGCAGTAGAGTGTACTTATTAAAATTATGATAAAGCTAATCAACAGAATACTTTGCAGCCATTCAAAATAATGTAAATGTTTATTTTTCGACATAAAAAAATGACCACTGTGTTTGTTAAAGGAAGGAAATATGATAAAACATAGATACACGGTTAACCCTTGAACTGCATGGAT